ATTTACCTACCGCTAGAATACAACAAATGAATGAATAAATGGTAATGAATTTATGATATAGGAATAATAATCTGTAATTACCTATTAGTATCTACTTAGTTAATGCTTTTGGTTCTATGCAAAATTATATAAATTAAAACAAAGAAAAAATATTATTCCTAAAATTATTAATCACTCTGCTGACAAATTAGATCATATTTCAGTTCCAAATTTATTTGAAGTTAAACATGTAATCTATTGTATATAAGCAGAATGGATTAAAATTTTAGAGCTCACAACGAGAATAAAAGGTCCTAGGTTCAATTACTGGTGTGGTTATGATTCAGGTGCCCAGTGTTCTATGTTTTTCATTTAAAATCAACATGTCATGTAAATTACGAAGTTTAAAAATTAGTTTAATATATTTTTGAGCATTTAAATTAAGCTGATCATGTTTTGGAAAAGTTATTCCAAAATTCTTCTTCAGGTCAATATTCATATCCAGTTCTTATCTGTTAAAAAGGCAAGTAAATAAATGTAAATGATTGCTAGTAAATTTAAGTGAAATTGCTATCCGTTTGTTTAGCCAATAAATAATCAAGAGAAATATTGTAAACCACTATAGTTATGATCTGATGCGTATTAAAAGTTTTCGTTCACTAAATGACATTATTATCCAAGTGACATGATTGAAATGTACATTTGTACATACCTTAGTTAACTGGCAAATAAAACTTTGTGACTGACAATCAAAGATCGAACTGACGATTGATCGGCAGCTCTGTTTCAATTTTTTAATGATATGACAGAAAGCAATTTTACATGTTTATGCCTATGGAATTGATTATTTAACTTAGTACTAATACTTGCAGTCGGTTAAAAACTGTTCAGCATAATAAGTGAATAGATACCCGAAGGCAAGGCAACTAATCAGCAAAATGTGTCATTGTATGTAGTTTAAATTCAAAATATTCGACACAAAATAAAGATTAATGAAATATGTCTGAATAGATCATGACTTTTGAATATGCGTCATATGGGTTATTCATGAACTTGTAAATATCTAGTCGCAAGTAGTTGGTTGTTTTACCATGAACTATATAATGCATTAAAAAACACTCTTCTAATGCAATTGACGAATTTGATACTGTGTGTAGAAAAAAAACTCAAAGATAAATCAGTTTCTTAACATTCTAGATTAAGTAGTTTTGTGGAGATCATTTTATTCTGAAGGTATTACTCACTACAGACAAATCTTAGAGTGACGGTGAAAACCAGGTATCCCTGCACAGATGTTTCATACTGGAGTGAAATTTCTATCATGTGTGCACATATAACTTCACCAATAATCACCCTTCAAAATTTTATGTTTCAAAACCTGTGCTTAAATATTAAACCGATGTTTCTGGTTTATTTACAAACATTTGTAACTTCAGCTAGCTCATGATGATGATGACCACCATCTAGTATGTCTTTTATTATTTAAACGTTTTAAAGTTTATCACAGTGGAAGGTTGTTTATTCTTAAAATCTTCTAAAATAACTTTGTTATCAGTGTGATAAATTTTCCTTAGTACTATATATTTATTAATATTCAATTACCCCTAATCTAATTAATTACAAAACATTAATAAATAAACTATATTTTGTTTTACGTAAACATAATTAGCGCTAATACAATTTGTAGTCATATAGAAATGAAGTAAATCAAGATTTTCTCCTCAGTAATAATGAAATGGCGTTGAAAACCTCGTGTAAAACGCTGTCAAGTTTACAACTAATCGATTTTGACTCTTCATATTATTATTAAAAAATCATTTTAAATCATTATCAGGTTTGCCGATGATTAAATATCTTACTTGTATACTACAAAATAAATGAAGAAATTTGTACTTCTTAACTCTCTGTGCCCTCAACTTATTATAAGAACTACTTCAGGAAGCCTAAGATTTCTAGAAGAACTTGTTTTAATCCAATTATGGTGTTAAAACTTGAAATAACTTTATCTTAATAAATCTTAAGATAAGATCAATATAAACTCATCATAACTGAAGAAGCATCCCTTGACCACTGTCAAGTAATTGAGACATTCTCTCAAGAATGCTTTTACGGTTTACCATTTTCTTTACAAAGTAAGTAATAAAAAGTATATATATAAAGGACATCACTCTTCGCAAGTGGTATTGTTTTTCATTAAAATCCTTAACACAGACAACCAGCTTTCAGAGAATTTCATTTGATTGATAAGTACATTTGAAGTTTATCTTTTTAAATTACAATAGTATATTTGGTATCAGAAGGGGTTTTGTGGAGATTGTAGTGATTTAAACAGTTGATATCATGAGTCAATTGAAGCTAGACCACCATAGAAAACCTGGAAGCACTGAACGGCCGTTTCGTCTGGCACCAGACCGATAGGTCCTGGGTTCGAATCCCGCGAGGCGGAGTCGTGGATGAACACTGCTGAGGAGTTCCACAGTGGGACGAAACGGCTATCCATTGCCTCCAGGTGTTCCATGGTGGTCTAGTTTTAATTGAGTTAAGATCTCAACTGTTGAAATTACATATTTGATAATTGATTACTAACCTACTACTAGATAGGTGTTTTGTAACTCTTAGCAAATACCTTTCTAAAATTAATCTTCATTACTATGAATTTTAACTACTTGAAACTGACAAAGAGTTTGCTGATTTTCTAATTTAAAATTACAGTTCATAAATCACTAGGGCGAAACTATAATTTATGGACGAACCAATCAGATTAACGATAACAGGTTTTGCATTTCGGCGCGAAAGTCTTTATCCATTTGGTTAAATAGCGTCTTGACCTTTCAGCTGATGTTAGTTCTTGATGAAAACCCTAAATCTAATCCCTATATCTGACCATCAACTGTAAATCATAATCCTTATCTTTAACATTGGTTAAAGACCCTCATTTAGCTCTAGTCAGTAGGTGGACATTCTTAAGTACACTTTAGCGTCGCCTAAAGGTCGTCCATAAATTATAGTCTCAACATCACTAGATTCTAAATCAATTCATCAACTTTCATATCAAATAACAATATTTACAAAACTAGGTTAATACAGATAGTTTAATCAGAAAGTATTTATTTACTTATTTGTGAATAGATTATTCTGTAAAATATTTCCAGGAAATGTTTTTCTTTTAGATTTTCTATCCATTTTCGCTCTTACAGTATTTCTACACTTCACATTTTGATAGATGTATACAAACACCTTTATGTTTCATAAACATATATGCATTGAAATAATTAGTCATGAATTATCGGCCTCTATTCACCAATTCACCGGCAAACTTTAATTCCTCAAGAGTGAACGATACTTTACATAATTCTCCTGTTAATACAATAATAAAAATTTACATTTTTCAATCACATAATTTAGGAAATAAACTGACTGTTCACCTAAACACCTCTAAAAATAGGTCACAGTGGATAGACGTCATTATTTTTCTTTTGCATCAATTAAGTTAAGTTCTGATTATCTGTCTTCTCAATTCAAAAGTGTGGATAAAAAATTATCACTATTGTTTTTATTTGAATTTCGGTTACAGCATTTCAACAATTATGTTAATATGAAAAACATTTCATGAGAATTTACCACGTTTAGTGGGTTTGTAAAAATTATTGACTTTTATGATTGTTACCATGATTTGACCTTTGTTAGACAATCATTAAAAAATCAGAAAGCATCGAATGTCTGATTCGTTTGGGAATGTGACTCTTCAAATGTTGTAAATGGTTGTCTGATTAAAGTTAGTCCATGATGTGATTTATACAAAATAATTTACACATTGTTACTTCAAGATCGACTAAAAATCACTTTCAGTACGAAATAAATGATTTTTAGCTGTCTAGAAATCTCATTTACATGTTATATGCATGCCAGACGAAAAACTGGAAGTGTTTAGGTTTAAATTGCTTCAATTATTAAATATACAAATTTTATATCTAAGACCCCTTATTTACTCGGTGGTGAACTACAGTCAAACTATTCACTTACATCTCACAAATATTCATATAAATAATAGCTATATTTTTATTTATTGCAGTTTGAATAACTTAAGAAACTGTCTGACTGTTATGTTCCATAGATTATTGATTTTAGAATTTTATTATCAAAGTAGAATTATAATTAGCTCATCTCTCAAATTAAAAAAAAGATTAACTTCAATGTATGTGTAGTTATACTAGATGGATTCAGTTTATCACTTGAATCAATTTAAGGCATATTTTAGCCCTTTTGGTTTCTAACCTGGTATTGTAGTGAACAGAACACGGTTGGGGACAGTCGAATGCATTTAACACAAAATTACAGGACTTGTTAATAAAATCTAACAATCATGAAGTAAATGCTTAATTTGCGAAATGTCCACAAGTTGTTTCAAAATGACTCAGACTTCATTGTTCTTGCATTTTCATACAAATTGCATGCTGTTTCCATTCTTTACTGTTTGATCCTCTTGTCTCTCTACTGCCAAACATTCTGTTCACGACTAGCATCATATACTACTTATGTAAATATAAGTATCACACACCACAGTATGTGAATTTCATAATTTACGGAAGATAATGCTAATAATAACTAGGTAATTTGATTTATAATTTGGTTGCAAATATAACGTATATTAAAATAACAATTAATTTGAGTAACAAACTGACGTATCTGACTAACACTTTAAAATATATAATAAACATTTGAAGTAACATCTATAATGAAAAACAATATTTCAATCAGACAATATAGAAACTGACAATAATCTACATCTGCTAAATTATCTCATTAGTTCAACACAGCAAGAGGAATGATAAATAACACTGAAAATAAAGATTTTTAGGAAAGTAAAGAATGAATTTATTTTCATTATTGTTATCCATTATTGATCAATATCACCACACCTACCATGTTTTAATTTAATAAATAGTAATAAATGACATTAAATATATGCATAATGAATATACTTTAAAATTTCATCTTTTTGTTTCTTTAAATGTTTTCAGCCCTGAATTGTTGGAACAATTATGGATTCAGTTATATCGTTACTTACCAGGTCCATCAATGGGACCAAAGTTATCTTCTGGTAGTTATCTTTTATTTTGACATAACCTATATAAATTTTGAGTTAATAGAAAATATTTAATTGGTAAACGTCTAGCATAATGATGTCTGGTTCTCCTGTTAAACAGGGTTGAGCTGTACTGTTTAGGTTGTCACGTGAAAGTCCGGATGGTGTCTGGTTCTCATGAAAACCAATGTAAAATTACCCTGGCCCACTAGGGTATATTATATATAACTAACTGTGATAATGATAAAAGCTTTGTTTATGGATTCTCAGCTAGAATCCTGGATACATTCGTCATATTTACAAGTTTTGATACTTCGTACAAGTTCTTTTTTAACGGAGTCTTCAAAACGAATAAAATAAAAACATTTCATAAAGTATTTTATATTAAATAATCTACAAACATCTTATGAAGTTATAGTCTAGCATCTACAATTCAAATATTGAAACAAATAATAACAGAATTTAACGCACAAAGAATATGAATGTTTTTTTCATAGCAGTTGTACTAAATAACTTGTCTAATAGAAATCTCACTAATTTATTTTTATGATCAGAATGAGGTTTATGGATTTTGTTGTAATTTTAATAGTTGAATTCACTGGTCTAATACATTTTGCGGGATCCTGGATGCGCACTTCTGAAGAGTCCTATACTAGGACAAAATGACCATTTAGTGCTTCTGAGTTTTCAATGGTGGTTCAGCTCAGATTGACTCATGAATTCCACTATTAAAATTTATTTTTAAACATTAAATTATTTAAAACGATGAAAGTGATACTTACTGACCAATATTAACACATTCTACTTACTATAAAAGACAATTAGCTATCTATCAAAATTCTTGTTTAATTTTATCAAACTATTCAAGAATTGTTCTCAGCAGCTACGAAGAAAAGTTAGATATTACAATATAACCAAATAACAAGTTGAAAGTTCAAAGACCAGTCGACTGAACGAATCTAGACATTTATTTGTGTTACAGATTGAGAAATAAAACTAAATTTTATCATCTTTGTACAAATACGTATAAATATTGTGTAAAATAAGTGCAGAATTTTATACTTAAACAATTCTATTAACTATTCTAGCTTCACTTTCATTAACGTTTTATGAAATAATGTTTACAGTCTTTGTAATACAGAACAAATGAATTCATAAAGTTTTATAATGATATGATTATTATTCCGTAAAGTTTTGAAATCTTCCTAGTTACTTCCGTGCTAATTTCAAATGTTTATTTCAGTAAAAAATTTATAGGAAGTATTGTATACCGTAGGATTCTTAAGTATGTATGAATTACGTGGACGACAGATCATAAAACAAGTTTTAAGTCTGAATCCGAGCCTTTCTTTGGAATATTTAAAAACTTCTACTGTTACAGTGACATTCAGTCTAGATTAGTGATCACATCATGCACCGTAATTATTAGTCAAGACTAAAATAGATTTAATCATTAAATTTCTTTCAGTTCTCAGTCTAATCTCTTATCGCATATAAATATAAATATATATCTATGGGTATTTTCAACAGAGATCGGTGGTTTCTAGCAGTGGAGTCCAGGAATCATGTTTCATCTTATTTGGAACTTGTTAGCTGGATATACCTGCATCTCAGTGACTGATTAATATTAATGAGGAAGATCCAAACAATCAATATGAAAATAAATATAAGTATTTTTAACATTAAACTTTAAAATTATGGTTATCTATTTAAACAATGATCAATGTTCATGTTTTTAAATTTGACTATGTTCCATTTATTTTGTAGATTTATCTGCAAATATTGAACTTTCTGTAAGCGTCGATAATTTGGAATTATTATATCATAAAAATCAGTTGGTAAGTCATCTTATCATTTGTTTATAGTTATTAGATAAACTATTTGTTCTATAAAGATAATATTAGTAATGCTTGTTTCAGGTGTTTATTTTGTGTGTGATTAGTTAACTTTATTAAAGTATATATGCCATTAGAGTTTTGTTAGACAATCGTGACTAATAGTAATAAAGCCAATCAATTTACTAACATCACTTTCAAGCAAAGTTAAGTTTGAATGATACACTAAATGTAATTGATTAAAATAAAAGCAAGATCCAATACGTCGTATTCAATTGTTTAGTCAATATGATTTATTTATTGCATGATCTATCATTATAAGATAGTAATATTATTCAATGAAACATTATAGACAATAAATACTGACAAATATAAGCATAATTTATGAATTTTTATGATTTCGTTTTAATTTGCTTATTCATCCTGTAGTATCATTGGTAGATTTGAATCATTTTTATTTCCTAATCGAAATTTTCAACTCGAACTAATAGTAATCCCTTTATTTAGGGTTTCATAATTTAATTTAACGATATATATATAGTTCATTGAATGATGTAATCATATGATGTGCAGATTACGGTAATAGTTCCTATGATAAATCTTTATCATGTTAAAACTAACACAACCTATATGACATTTTAAACATAAATTGTAGGATAAAATTTTATGCCTCAATAGTAATTATCATTTAATTGATTATGTTTTTGACAGATTTCATTAAAAATCTGTATATTTTTTACTATGAATGTTGAACATCTAGACTCATCAAAGATTTAAATGATATGTTCAAAAATATTCCTATACAAACTCATGACTTGATGTACTTATCTAAGTTAAATTAACGTCTGTTACTCTTCGTCAAGGAGCATAGGCCGCTCACCAGCATTCTCTATCCAGCTCTGTCCTGGGCAATCCTTTCTAGCTCCTTCCAGTTGTTATTCATCTTTTTCATATCCGCTTCTATGTCCCGATGTAATGTGTTCTTTGGTTTTCCTCTTTTCCGCTTCCTTTCAGGATTCCAAGGATTTACTTATCTAGTACTTATATAATATCTAAATAAGTTGCCTAAAACAATCGCGAATATATACATATGACTGTATAGTCATTATACAACATAGTTGTTGGGTGTATTCACAAAATTCACAACAAATTGACTATATACTACTAATATTAGGAATTCACTAAATTTATCAATATAAAACTTTGTAAAATAAAAATAATTCATTCTTTTGGTATTATTTTGTTTGTATTTTCCCATTAAGGTTTAAGATTGCAATTGATCAGTCTGTTATTGGCATATGTACATACTATGCGTATGTCTCGATATTGCTTTGATTCACAGTATGCACATATGCCAGTAACAGACTGATCAATTGCAGTCTTAAACCTCGATGGGAAGATACAAGCAAACCAATACCAAATGAATTTAAGTTCACCCCATTGCATAAGCAAGTGGCTATCAGGACTCAGTAGTAAAATGGATAACGCGATGGTATTTGAAGCGAATGGTACTGAGTCGAGTCCGAGAGTGAACATCAACTCTAAGATGCAGATACATCCAGTTGACAAGTCCCAAATAAGATGAAACGCGCGTCCTGGATTCCACTACTAGCCACTATCCATTTTTGCTTAATAATTCATTCTGTTAAAAGTAATACTTTTTCATTGCTAAACTTAAAGGGGTTCTTAATAAGTAAGATGAACAATATGATACATTACACATGCATTTGATACATACAACATATTCAAATGACTTTGGTTTTCAATAATTATCTGACTAAAGTCAATCCATGATATGAACCATCAATATTGTTTTTCTTTTTCTTTCTCTTTTCTTGTTTTTTAATACTGAAAAAACGGAACAAAAAATTGTACATAGAAATACTTAGTCATCAATACAATTGTCACGAAATGTAATTCATGAATTAAACTTTATTATTATTTTTTTAAAATAATTTTAATGAAAATGTATTTTATTTAAAGTCTTTAATTAAACAATAAAAAAAATAAAAGGAAGTAACTTGCTTTTCAAACAATAATGTTTTTTTTCTAGTTTTCTTTCTTTTTTTCTTCTTCCAATAAAATATAGTAAGTTTGTTTGTTTTTCTTTTTTTGTTTTTTTCTTTTTTTGTTTTTTCTTTTATTTACAAATAAGCATAAAAGTATAGAACCTACTAAGAATACTATCATAAATGGTACATCTGATATACTATAGAAATGTAAAAGTAAACTGATTTTGTTTACTGATTGACAGTTAAATATACAAATAAATAGAGATATAGTTTATATTAAATAAAATGATTTATTTTTTTATAAAATTTAGTTTATTATCATTTAAAAAGAATCTTATTGAAATGGTAGAGAAGATTTGTAGCTCAAGTGGATGATTTTGGTGGAGTTTTTTTTCTCTGAACTAGACGACCAAACCATTCAGCTCAGAGAATAAAACTCCACCAAAAGAATCTTATTATTCATCATTTTTGTAATTTGTTAGTTAGTAATACAATGGATGAAATAAGAGAAAAGTTAATAAAAAGTAAATCATTTTACATACAAAATATTACATTTTGTACAGTGACTAATAATGAAATAATCAGGTGAATGTAAATTGACATTTTTGATGTTTGTACTCAAACAATAACTCAACACTTATAATTGTTACTTTGAATATTAATACTTGAATTCATAAGTCGACATGAGTTAGACCATTAATGAAAATCTGGAAGCATTGAACGATTGTTTCGTTACAGTACAGAACTTTTCAACAGTACGTATCCATGACCTCATACACATGACTCAAACTCATGACATTCATTCTGGCACGAGAACGCTTAAGCTCTTTGAAATTTTACTTTACGGATACAGTAGATATCGAGGCATTAATTCAGGAACCTTATAGGTTAGTGAGTGATTAATAAATATTAGTTCTAAATCTTAAAGATATGAAAATTAAAACCCTTACAGTTACTAATATATATATATTTATTTATCAGTAGCTTATTATGTGAATATAGTGAAAAGGATAAAAATTTCTAAGAAACCAAAGGAAACATTAAATTGGTTAAGAATTTTTGTAGCTAAGTTGATGCTTAAATTATTATTCAAAGAAATGATCGTGTCAAGTTAGAGATTTGATGTTATAACTGATGACAGTCATATTAAAAATATGTGGTTACATGATACACATAATAACGATTAAAGTTAGACTAAATATTTGAATGGGTAAAAGAAATATAGGATAATGGAATTACATGAATATTTTACTGTTTTGCTAAATATCATTATCCATATGATGCCAATCTATTTGTAATAGTGTATGACATAATAAAACGTAAAATAATTTGGAACATGAATACCTTACATTAGTTATGTTACTTTGTATACTCTAAACTTTATGGTTTGATTATATAGAATTGTTTTAATGGACAATAATATCAGTGTTTATCTCATGAACAAAATCGAATATTCATTCCCACATTTGATGAATGAAACAAATCCCAACTATATCTGTACACCTTTAAACTGATTACAAATAGTTTTACAAGTATTAATTGATATAAAAATTATTTTTTGTTTTGTTTTTTTAATCTCCAAAAAATTTGATGTAAAATGATGTATGCCAATTATTGTTATCTATGGATAATTCATAGCCAATTCGGTTTGTTTCAATCTGTTTTACATAACTTTATTTTTACACTTTTGATAGTGATTCATTGAAGAGAAATAATGTGACAATTACACTTCTTTAGTATTATTGTTGTCAGTTTTAGTTATAGTTAGGATTTCATGTGAATGAACGATTTTCAAAGTTGATGTGACAATTAAATCAACTGTTGATTAAAAGTTGTCCTAAATCAAAGTATCATTCAATTTGTATGCTTTTAGGTTAAAACGTAACTGTAGATAATTCTGATTATCTCTAGTTGAATTATATAATGATTGTAAGATTGATCATAAAGTAAAATAAATGATATGAGATATCACTTCAATTATTTCTTATAAACATTAACTTTATGGTTTACTTCTTGGTTTGGTCTTAGTTAAAGAATCACTGAAGACTGAGGAGTCTTAAATGGCTCTTTCGTTCTAATATATGGGACCTCGGTGGTGAGCATCCACCATCCAGTCGGAAAAAAGAACCAGAAACATCAGATCTAGTGAATAAAATCACTGAGTCGGAATAGTGAATAACCATCTGCTAATGCTGATGTTGGGGGTGCTATCTTACATTTGACATGATCAAACTTCGTTTTTTAGGGTTTCTTAATAAAATTCAGAGAATTACTTGTCAAAATTGGTCATCAGTGAGTATAATCTCTTCAAAACTATTGTAGACTAAAATGTATTAAACGCATGCATTGATTTGTTGATTTTTAACCATGAACTTCACACAACCACAATAGGATTCTAGGTTAATGTTTACTGAGTTTCTTAAAACGTTTCGAAACACTATAATCCAACTTAATAATAAAGTAATTGTGTTCTCTATACTAAAATACATAATTTTTCAAATCTTAAGTTATATTTTTTTGGTAAAGTTTATACTAGTGGTATTGCATAAATGGAATGAAGAAACTAAAGTTTTCACTGAACAATACGTAATGTCAAATCTTATATTTTATACTTTGGAAATCATTCCATTCTATATGAGTTCAATATGTGTATTATTTCAATAGAAAAAAGAATCTTAACCACTGAATGTAGTGGTGTATAGGTTAAGCTCTCATCACAAAATCTGAAGCTCCTTAGGTATGTCTCTGTTGCAATTTTGGAAGCATACTTCTATGAAGTCACATTCCAAGACAAATAAATATCCATTGATTCGCAGTTTTCAATGCTTATTCGTTCAAGCTTATATTCAACAGTATTTACAACACCATTTGCATAAGGTTATGATTATTTTCAGAAACATAGTCCGTAAAAACGAAAAACAGAAGAACACAAATATAAATATTGAATAAGTCTGATATTTTACAATATATATATATATATATATATATATA